CTGGTCCCAATTACTGTTGTTAGCCAAGGACTACCTGTAAAAAGTTGCAGAAATTCTCTGGGGTCTATCTACAGATTACATGTACTAGAATGAATGGGATGATTATGACTGATATTTGGGAGAAAAAGTAATAAAAATACATTCTTCCTCGCTACTCCTTCAGCTTCAAACATAAGCAAGGATATAGAGGGCCCTAAATATGTTGTAGCGCACATCCTTATAGTTTCATTAGGGAATGCATATACCCCTTCTTGGGGTTGGGGCAAGGTTGCAGTTGAAGTTTTAAAATGTGTAACTGAAGGGTGAACTTAAAATTGGCAGTTCTCTCAGGAAGACTGTATTTGGATGACTGTTAAACGAGGAAGAACATGTTTTCTTCTTTCCTTCCTTCCTGTTTGTTAAAACTACAGCAGCAAATGTTTTCATTTCTAGTTAGCAATTGCAAAATGTGGATACGCTTCTACGAACACACTTTTGTGTGCCTGGACAAATCTAAAATTCTGTTTCTGAGTTTGTCCTGATGCATTTTTGGACTTTTCTGTTTTTGAATGACCCACAATAAATCTCAAACACTGAGATACTTTTGGAACTGCCCAGTTGTTTGGATAATCATTTCTTTTTTTAACTGCAGTTCTGAGGGTCGTTACTATGTCTGCCTGGATAGATACAGCTATACAACCAAGGAGTAGTTTCCATCATATTTAGTTGTGCTTGTGTGTGCCATAGATACCACCAACAGCAGTCAATGTTTTCATAATTGGCTTAGAGTTTCAGTCTTTATGTGGATACAAGCACATTCCAGGCCAAGAACCTCCAAATCAGATTGATATTCTCTGTAGTTTTTATTTTGCACAGTTGTGTCTCACAGCTCTCCTAGCATACAAATTTTAGCATTTTGCTTTCTGAACTTTCAGAAGGGCCACAAATATTTTCTGCAAACAGCTTTTGAAATCCCACGAAAGACAAATTATAGTATTATTGGAACATGCTGTCAGTCTTGTCTTAACTTATATATCATAGAATGGATGATTATTTTGTAAAGCTTTTCTGAGGGAAAATTCTACAGCCATGGCTCATGATACTTCTTCTTTCATGGTTATTTATTAGTGGGAAGTTAAAATCCAAACAAAGCTCCTGGACATTGAATAATTGATAACATGTTGTCAGCAAATAGAGACAGTAAAATCCCTTTGCTTATTAAAGTTGTCAATCTCCATCACGCTATTTATGTCAACCTGTAGTTTGTCTCAAAATACTAATATCTTGCCTGGTATCTCTGTGACTCTTCCAGGTCTTGCCATTCCCTGTTCTCACTGGCAATGAACTTTTATCCAAAAAAAGGTCCTTATTTCATATCCTTGTTGTCTTATCTCTTTCATTCAGTTCAGAATTTGTTTTTCTTGTTGTCACATCTGTTGTTTCCTTTATTTTCTACATCTTCCTTACTTTCAGAACTCGCCATTTTGTCATTCCCACTTCCCTGTGTTCCTCTTCTGTAATTGTTTAGCTTTCTACAACTTAGTCTGCTATTGGTCCACTTCATTTCCTTTGCTCTTTCCACCTTTGGGTCTTTTTTGCATCCCCTGAACCTACTCAGTTCATTTTTGTAATCTATCCAACTGCATTTGAGTTGCAGAGCTATAGATAATTGTGGCAACTCTTTTGCCAAAGATTCTCCTAAAAAAGTTGAAAACTCTTACGTCTTTGATGGTCTCAATGTCCTTTTCTCCTTTGAATTCTTTCTGTAAAACTGTACTTCTTTTATAGATACAATAATCTGAAAAGGCTATTTATATGGTATTATGTAGGGGCAGGACCAGCCGCAAAGGGGGATTATTATCTAAGGAATGAATACTAGTGGTCAGCAGTGTCAGCCTCCTGTTTGTCCTATCAGCACAACAGCTGATTAAAGTTAGCTACTTAAGTTCTTTGCTCCCTAAAATCAACACTGAAATAAGACGCAACTATTAGTCCAATCATCTTCTATCCATGGAATGAGGGAAGAAAACATCCTCTTATTCTTGTCTTCAGGCAGTAAAATGTCTTGACTCAGTCCTGTACAGATAATATATTCAGTACAATCTGTTATAGATGATCTTTTTATGTTGCTTTTATTGATCCTCATTCTCTCCTTTGGTAAGAAATTGACCTGCAGTTGGTTGAATGAGCCTCCAAGAAGGTTAACTTACTTCTAGAGCTTAATACTAAGATACAAAATGTTCAATTATGTATTAAGACACTAACTCTACATTTTCTTTTATAGTGTAGCTCTTGCAATATACTACCATATCAAAAACAGGTATGTTTGAATTTGAAATAGTTCAAGTACTAATGAATTGTTCTTTCCTATTTTTTTTTCATTTCAATAGCTTATACGATAGCTCGCGAAGCTTGCAAGGCGGCGAGCTTGTGCTCACTGTGCTTCAGCAGTGATACCTGATGAATGTTCAGTGCTACTTCATATGCTGCCTTGAATATGTTGTAATCACAACTCAAACGGTACATGTCCTTCCCACACAGTGGTCTCCTGGGAGACCAGTGATAGACGAGGAAGGACCAGCATAATTGACAATGCCCATATGGTTCCATAATCCCAAACATGAAAGAAACTGTAGAGAACCCGTTCTAATGGCACCATGGTAACCATGGATGAAGACCTTAAAATATAGCTGAACTATATTAAGACTCAAAGTTGGTATAAAAATGTAATCTTTTTTAAAACGAACCTTAGGAAAGATCTTTGTACTTCCTTTGCATAGTTCTGATTGCAGCTTTTACTTTATTTTAAAGCATCTTGACAAGATCAGCAGATAGAATACAGAGGTGCAAAGGAGATGTAGACAGAACCCTAAGCAGTAAATTACATAGATATAACTGAAAACCAACATTGTTATTCATACATTGCCATTCAGACAGTAAGCCTATGCTGCATAGATGTCTCTAATCTTTGGATGCTGGTGATCAGATCTGGAATATTGAGAAACATGCACATTTGGTGGGCAGAATCAGTCACGAAGCAGCCACTGAGTGAAAAACAAACTGCTTGAGATTATCCCCTCTGGTCCACTGGGATGTTTCCTGCCAGATCAAGTTTCCTTTGTTGTTTGTCTTGGTAAGATGACCACATTTTCAATCAAAGCCTTAGATTACAGCTATTCATTTTTTCCCCCTAAGATTGCTTTTTGAGTCTATTTGGAGGTCATAATGTGATGGAAATAAATATGATGTTGGAGGCTGATGATTTGCTTTACCTCATGGCAGGATTAATTTGTTAAAAAAATCAAGAGGGATATGGAGCCTGATGGGCAGTACAGTGGACACATTGATGCTCATAGTCACTGCAGATTTAACTGTGGCAGTCATGGGAAAAAATGGAACTCTAAAATCCTTTAGTTCCACAAACTGCTTCTGTCCTTCTGCCATTAAATTATATGGACTTGGCCAGGTGGTCACCAGGAACTGAGCTCATTTCAAAGGAGTGCCTTTTTAGGTTCACTTGAAGCCCATTTTCTAACTGGAAGTCTTGTCAAAGATTTGCACCTTTGCAAACATAATGTTACTGAACTAGCATTCATGGAGTGTGGACAGAGGATACAATTATGCTTCCTGTTCTCTTCTTGTCCTTTCAAGGTTCTTCTGTCCCATTTATTATGTTGTCATGAAGGACACACAATAAGACCCAAAGGATGGGTGCTGTGACACTAATTTTGAGGACCCAGGAGAAAATCTGGATATGAGTAGTCAGGAAAGAAGAGCTTTTGCTCCCTATTTGTTTTAAAAAATCCATCAGAAACTTTCTGAATCTGATCATCAGTGCCCCGGCACAATGTGCATGTGCCCTCTGCTGTTATCCTAGAAGTACTGTAACATTCCCGAGATGGTCGGAACAATGTAAGATAGGTCCATCTAGTTCAAGCCAAAACTCTAATTTATCCAACATTCTTTCTCTCTGGAATAATCAGCTACGTGCCGATTGAAAGCTCACCAGCAGGCTATGAAGGCAGCCGCTGGTGCTAAGCAAATATTTTGTGTGATGAAACAGAGCGCTGCTGCTGTGTGGCAACTGACCCCATAATTATATTTTAGGGATACTATTCACATTGGTATCTAATGGAAACAATGGATGGCCCAAAGATTAAAAGCTCCTGTGCTTTTGATAAATCACTCTTTAAAGTGCATTCCTATTCCTGCCCCCCACTGTTGCATGGAGGTTGGATTCTGCCAGGGGAAGTAAAATGATGCATTCAGTAATTAGATCCAAGCTTGTTTAGGATCCTAGGGATGGTTGGAAATGGCTTTGGATTCCAAAAAGGGTGTATATCAGTCTGCCTCCCCCCTAGTATCTATAAACAACACCATTGAGTTGAATGAAAAGAGAAGCTATACTGTCCTATACCTGGCCAGTCATTAAGATGGTCTTGAGACTCTCTCTTTCATTCCATCAAGGATTGCTGTTGTTAACTTTATATTCAAATTTCAAAATAACTTTCATTTTTCTCGAATAAAAAGGATTTCCCTCTTTCTTGTATTCTGTTGTAGAGTGAGCTAAACTAAATACAGTGCTTCTTTGCTTGACTGGCTGTTACATGTGGGGATTTTAGCTTTATCTACTTTTTTTTTGGTGGGGGGGCAAATGTCCTCCAAGGCTAAAATAGCTTTGCAAATGAGTAGGGACTGATTCATCCTTTTCCAGGATGGTATCCCCCAGTAGTTTTCCATGGACAAATGTAGGAAGAAACCACTTGAAAAGTCTAGTGAGGTGTTCCTTTTCCATGTAGTTATTGCTCCCCTACCAAGATGATTGATTGTGTGTGGCTCTTTTTTATACACTACAGGATGGGATTATGTCCCAGATCAGCTATTTTTGTAGGCCTTTTATAAGTGTTTCTCTCCATTTCTGTTTGTTCAGTAACATTGGTTCTGATTCTCTTCTTTTCTTTCCCTCTTTTTAGGGACACAGATGGAAGAATGCTCCTAGATATTTTTGATGAAAACCTCCACCCCCTTTCGGTAAAGCTCACTTACATAAGGATGATAATGAAAATTTGGAGTTTATGATGTGGATTCTGCCACTTCTCTACCCTTTACTTGTGCTGCTTTTCCCCAAATTATGTGTAATGCATTCTCATTTCTAATAATATTATTTCCCCAGAAATCCGAAGTGCCACCAGATTATGACAAACATGATCCAGAACAGAAACAGATTTATCGCTTTGTGCGAACATTGTTCAGTGCTGCTCAACTAACTGCCGAATGTGCTATTGTCACCCTGGTGAGTATACAAAAGATCATGGTTGAACTCCTGAGTTAAACTACAACTAGTTTTACATCATCAGTTTAAGATTTTCATCTGGAGTTAAGTTCACACATCAGATTCACCTATCCATGACTTCATATGTGAATAATTGTTGCAGGTGAAATAATACACACGGACACACATTACACAAATGCTTACAGACACATTCAGCTTTCATATACTTTAAATATACTTAACATCTGCTTACCCTTTCTCTTGTATTTGGTGGGTAGATTCCACAGTTCTTTCTTTTCCTAAATATGCACCTATCTACTTTAGACTAAATGTCTTCAGCCATCTTTTTTCTTGTGACTCACGCTCCAAAATCTTTTCAGCCTTTCATATTTTGCAATATAGTATTATAGTACAATTTTCAAAATTCATATTTTCCCCCTCATAAGATGTAGCATTTATATGATCCTTTCCCTTTCCCTTTCCCCTGAATAATTGGTAATGGTGCTATCTGGAAAAGTAATTGGTTCTGAAGGTTCTCACGTTAAATAATAACTTCATCTTTAAGGAAGTTTGGTAAGCATGTTACCTGATTTATACAAGTTATTTCCAAAATGATATTTTCCTAACAGGGAAGCTCAGTAATAGGTAAGCTTTTCATTTTGAGATAGATTTCACCCTTATAGCACTTCTTTAAATAACACAGCTAGGAGAAAGGGAGCAGACTGTAACTATGGCATGTGAGAAAAAGGGACTTTAGATCACTGAAACTGGATCTGCTCCATCCCCATCCCACACTTGCAGTTACTATTTATGATGGGGCTTCAATTCCTGTTGAGATAATTGGGTTCACAAAAGGTTAAATCAATGGCTCCAATCTAGCCTACAGCCTCTACCTTCATGTCTTCTGTTTCGTTAAAAAAAGAAAAACAGCTGTGCTTTCAAACTGTGTGACAAGCATGATGTCTCTTTTGGTCATTTGCTAACATTAGCTAACTACAGAGAGCCCCCATTAATTAAAATAACAAATCCAAGCACTTGATTTTCTAGATCTGTTTCGATCCAGTTTGGGGCTGGGTCATACCATGGAGACCACATTGGTTGTTCTGATAGACAGTCTCTTGAGAAGGCTGAATAGGGGCAATATGTGCTTGTTCCTGCTTGGTGATATCCCAGGAACTTTTGATAACATCAACCTGGACCACTTTAGAGAATTAAAGTTGGGGGCACTATCTTGCTGTAATTCTGCTCCTACATTAAGAGTTCCATTTGGTCCCCCATGTTATTCATCTTTATGAAGCCACTAGGAATGTTGGAAAGTGTGGAGCTGGATGTCACCTCTGTTCACTTTTCCACCTTCATCAAAGGTGCCAGGCTTTGTAATTGGTTCTTGCTTGGTCTAGATTGCTGTAGTAGTATGTGGGAAAGACCTTGGGAGACTGGGCCAAGAGATGCTGCTTAGGGAATGGTCAGAAGACAGCATTGCCTGCAACTGGATAGTGGATAGTGGGCAGGGCAAGAGGCTCAGAAGAAACTTGCAAGGTTGATATCAGCCTTACCAGATAGACCAGACAGGAAACATGACCAGATGAGCTAATTCTATTTTATTGTAAAACTATATTAACAGAATCTGGCAAGTCTGAAAGTACAATTCTCCCCACCCCCCGTCTCCTATACAACCTGAGAAACTAGGGATGGTCTCTTCTGAACCTCTTGTCCTGCCCCCTATCCAGCTGTGGGCTATGCTGTCTCTTATCTGACCATTCTGTAGGCAGTATCTCTTGGCCCAGTCTCCCAAGGTCTTTCCCACATAGCATTATAATTGCAGACCAAGTGAAACTTAATCCTGAGAAGTCAGAGGGTTTGATGGTCTGGGAAGATTTTTGTCAACCAGTAGGGGCTATTCTGCCTCCAGAGTGGGGCATTTCTTCCCATGAAGGAACAAGTGCATACTCTGTGGGTGCTTTCTGACTCTACATTGTCTCTGAGTGCTGAGATCAGTGCAGTGGTGAGGAGTGACTTTCAAAGCATATTCCCTGTGATTTGTCAATGATGCCCCTTCTTGGGGAAGTCTAATCTGACCACAGTAGTCCATGTGCTCTTTAGTACATGTTTAGACTTATGTGTTCTTAAACCTTAGTCTTCTCCCCATAAAAGCTACTTTAGATAGCTATCTAAATTTTATGTTGATGCCATGTTTTATATAATGTTTGACGTTGACTTTGATTTTCATCTTGCTTTATGAAGTTTTTAATTGTTTTATGATATTCATGTTATTGACTGTGATGTACCGAATATTGTAACCTGCTTAAGCTGGACATGCTGCAAACTGTGTCATATAGAAATTACTTAAATAAATAAAATTCTAACCCTAATCTTCTTACAAGGTTATTTGAAGAATAACATTGGGAATGGGGGGAACAGTACTGTTTTTGCCATCTTGTACTTCTTGGCCATACATCAAGATAAACATTTAATAAAACAAACAAGGATGAATCATAGCGGAGAAAGGCAGAAAGAACATTGACTTATTTTCTAGTGTGTTAGGGAACTGCTTTCGTACACAACTGATGTTACTATTAAAACAACGTACATTTTACTTTACTCTTGTCCCTCCAACTTTGATTTTTCCTGAGGACCATGATTCAGTGGTGAAACATTTTCCTTAAAATGTTAAGAACTCCCTGTGCAGCAGAGCCTGTAAAAAAACGGAGATTGTAACCATTGTTGTAGACAGTAAGGCAGTCTATTTAAAGATACCCTAGCTTAGATTATCACTTGGTTTTGCAAAGAGATATTGTTACTGGCTGCCCTGCTGTTTGATTAATATTACACACAGATGGGGGTGTCAGCATGCAGGCGTCCGGAGGATGTTATAGGCTGAAATGTTTTCACGTTTGCGAACTTGATTATACATCAGTGTTGCTTCAAGCAAACTGTCTTGGACAACTGTCAAGGGCATTAACAGTAACTGATGTTTACTTGAAGGACTACTGGAGTAACTGGCCCATGTAGGAGTCTGATGTGAAATGATGCTTTAAAAAAATGAATCCAGGATAGAGACTTTGTTGAGGTTCTCCCCTTTTTGTGCAAGTTTTTAAGAAATATCATTCCTGCAACCTTTATTGATTATGCTGTGTGTGTGTGTGTGTGTATAATATATATAATTTTGCTGTATTGATAAGGTCAACTGACTAACCATTCCTGCAACCCATCTAATTCAGGGTGGTCAGATTATTAAAATTTCACCTTTTCTTACAATTCACTATGCCTACTAGTATGATGTAGTGACAGAAGTACAGAATTAAGTCAGATACTGTGTTTTTATAGGTTGCATGTTTATAGGTTGTGGCTTGATAAATCCAATGACTAGGAAACCCAGTTAAGGTTCCATTTGTTCTTAGTAGAATGGTCTCTATGTCTGTGTTTCTAAGGATGGCTAATTAGATGTGAAAGAAGCCCATGCTCCACATCCCAGATAGCATATGTGTAGTAATGAGCCATGTGCCTTGACACATTTTTATCTCAGTACATAGGCTGCATCCTATGTGAATAAACAGCTTTCATTACATTTATGTCAAAAACAATGTGAATATACTCCTCCCCCTTTTTTATGGATGGGAAATTTTGGGATGAGGTCCATTATATTGAAACCAGAATTTTTTATCCTACTTTGACTTCAGGTATGTGAGAATAGGCTAGATTAAATCACTACAGATGATTAGAGCTTTACCTTTTCTTGCAGTTTCCTATTAGCATGATTATCTATCTATCTATCTATCTATCTATCTATCTATCTATCTATCTATCTATCAATCAATCAATCATACTTGTATAGCTGCCCATCTCACATCAGAGTGACTCTGGGCAGCGTACAACAATTAAAAAGAATAAATCCATAATTTGAGAAGCACACAAAACAGGAGGGGATAATATTAATAAGGGTGATATAGTGACAGAAGTACAGAACTAAGACAAACCTCTCTTAACTTATTGGGTGATTTGATAGTGCTTCCAGACCAAGTGTTCATCCTGCAACTGTTCTAGTCACATAAATGTATGGAGGGGGAAGGAGGTCAGATGCAGTCAACGAAGTCGCTCATTATTTCCCTGCTGTATTTTCCTGTCTTTTTTTTCACAGCAAAAAGTTTAACATTGGTAATGTTGGATACCATCTATATCAAGGTGTCTGTCTTTCTCAGCTTCTTTTTCTTACTGTGTTATTGTACATTGCAAAGACTCCAGTCTTTGCAAAAAGAAGCAAGATTAAGGCAATACATTTTTTTTTAAAAAAACTTCTTTTTCATGAAATTGTTTCCTTGTTATTCCTTTAAGTTTTTTTTTATTTTATTCATTCATTTATTTATCATATTTATATTTATATAAGTTAAAATAAATGTGATGGTGGCAGAACTGTTTATTTATACCAAGGTCTGCCCTAATCACATTAAATCCTCTTCTTCACAATCAATCCGCTTTCACTCATACTCCACGGGTGGCAAAGTAGTTTTGGAGCATTACAGAAGAGGAATCATTTCCTTGTGCTCTCTGTGGTGATAATGTTTATGAAAGAACTGAATTTGCAGAAGTAAGGCTGTTCTCCATTCCCTCTTCAGGCTGTTCCCTTCCATCCTATCTCTCCCAACTGGGGAGAAAAAGGAACTGGTGTATCAGATTGTATGTAGGTAATCCATGCAGTTAGAGATGGTTTAGTCCCTCTCAGTTCAGAATAAACTCCCACTATTGGATATTTAAATGCAGCCCTGCTATCTGTTTCTGTGTTTGTAAGCTAGTTAGAACAGTTTAGCGTGCACATAAATAGTGCCCTATTTACTATAAAGTCAGTATTAAATCAGAGTATTTTCATAAGGTGGTTTTCTACACTGGGGCACCAGATTTCTTCATGTATTTTTCCTTGTTTATTCCAATTGGTGTGGATTGTTCTGACTTGCTTTAGGTTCATGGTAAGTAGTAGAAACTGATGGAAGCTTATAATTTTAATTATTAAAAAGTAATTAGATGTTGACCCCACTCTGGCTAAGGAAGTTAAAGTGGCATTCAGAAGGACTTTCTGCAATTAAGAACTGTCTCCGTGCAGCCTCTGTTAAGTCCAGTAGAATTTGTTACAGCTGTAATGGTCAGTGAATTTATTTTTTTCAGGAATAATAGCAAAGAAAGATTCAGAGAAAGTACAGGGGAGTGATGAGTTACCCTCCATGCTTTTCATTAAGTTCTTCCAATTAAAACTTGGTTTTAATGCTACTAAAAAAAAAAAAAGCCAATCATAATTAAACACAATCTATGGAAATTTCTTATAGCTATCCAAAGCTGCCAAGAGATTAAAATTAAAATCAGAATGGAAGATGATTAAATTATGGTCCCATATGCATTAAAATGAACATAATTGAATCATGAATCTTATTTTTTAAAAATGATTGCAATATTGTCTTATATATCTTTTATGATCAGCTAAGGCTTTTGTTTATTAATGCTTGTTTAAATTGAATTTGTCTAGGTTGGCGAAAGAATTGAGAGGTTGCAGTTCTGCGCACACATGCTTGTGAAAAAGCAGCATTGAACTGGGATATATTTCTTGAATGCCCAGGAATATGCTTTTTTACAGTGTAGCACTATTGATGTTTACTCAAAGTCCTTTCAATTTAATAATGGATTGCTTAGACTTTTTCTGCATATCGCCCTTTAAAAACAAGAATTTTGTATCAGATGTTTTACAGAGATCAGGCTATAAGCCTCAGTTTGAGTAATAATCACTTTCAGTCTTATTCTAGTGAGCACCTAATTGCTATTTGAAAATATCTACAAGTATAGAGCCTCAAAATATCTCATGTCCTATTTAGTTACTAGTATAAAGATTTTTAGGTATGGATCCAGACCGCATGTGCTTCTATCATCTGCTTCAATTGCCCCATGGAGTTCTGGTAAAAGTGTGCAAAATGTTTCAAAATGGCCCTTTCCAAGTTTGAAAAAGTTCTGGGTTTGTAACAGACTGTTTCGATCATTTTGAAAATGTTTCGAGGTTGAAACAGGATGATTTGAATCCAAAACAACTGTTTTGAGATTGAAACATTTCCGAAACAGTCCTTTCCAAGTGCAAAACAATAGTTTTGGACTGAAATGATTGACATTCGAAATATTTTGCACAACTAGACTTTTCATTTAAAAGGCTCTCTCAGCTTTGGGGTATCATGCCACTTGGCCTAAAGAGTCAACTTTGTCAAATTCATAGATAATAAATTTAAAATAAAAAACTATTAGGACAAATCAAATCAATACAAAAGTATCTGCAAGCATCTGAGGTCTCCAGAACACTTCTTCAGACAAGTGCTGCAAGAAAATCAGGAGTGGAACAAAATGAAGATATTAGTTTTGTGCTTTTACCTGTGGTTTCTGAAGCTGTATTATTGTACAATAAAATTGTCTCCTTATAGAGTCCTGGAAATACAAAACCAGCCATTGTTCTTTCCTTATATTCACTCTCTGTTCATTACATTGGGAGATGAATCTGTCTCCTGTTATACTTTCCATACAGGGCTTGTACATTCTCTTCTGGTAGTCATTCTACTTTCACTCACATTCTTTTTGCTGATTTTCTTTTCTTCCATATTCATTTTTTCCCAACTCTAGACACTACCAAAAATTGGTCTGTTCTTTATTTAGAACCTCCCATCATTCTTGTATCCTTCACTAAACCTTGACCCGGCCTCCTTCAGATTTCATGCTATCCAGATCTTTTCAACTAGTGAATTCAAGTTAGCATGATTCTTAGGCAAGTTTACTGGACACTCTGGGAGCAGTACACCTAAATCATCTGATGACACAATGTTAGGATAGGCTGACCAAACCTAATGAGGAATAGAGGCTATGTGTATAGTCTTAATACTCTTTCCTGGATGACAGCAGTATTGATCCAACATGTGGCCAGAGGTCAACATTCATTTTTGTTGGCACTGATCCAATGTCAGTACAATTTTTTTATTTAAGCATGTAGCCTTATAGTTCGCTTTGCAATATAGTTACTTCTTGTGCATGGTGGAATGAAAGCATGCAGCTGTGGGGAATGCCAATGGGCAAAACAGTGGTGCCCATGGAGAGGTAAGGGGGAGAAGAATGATGAAAGCAGTACTGCAGCATCATGACGCAAGCCTTGCCCGTTTTGTACATGACAACACTGCTGTCATTGTTTTGATGAAATCAAGCAATTCACTTTCTCAGCTGCTTTTCTTAATTGCATTGTTAGATTTCCCCACCCCCCGCCCCAATACTGCCTACCACTCTTTAATCACCTAAATGTTGATTATATTAACATCTTCGCTGATTTTCAGGTATTTTCAATATAGGAGTTTAACAGATCAGCTAGTGGTCAAATCCACTTCAGAACCTGGTCTGTGATAAACTCATGCTAGAGTAAAGCCTTTAAAATAGTCATTATGCTGATTATTTTTAAAAGTGGTTTATTACACCAAGTCAGCAATATTAACAAAAATTTGCAATAAAAGCTAGAGATTACAGTTGAACATAAGTGGCTGTTGTTAATGAACTGTGACATATCATTTATCTGGTGGTACAACCAGAAACAATGTTTTCAACCCTTTTTCCATTTAAAGATCACTCAGGCAGGAGGGTGTAATTGAGCTTCCTCCTCCTCTTATTTCTGTTCAGCTAGAGAAGTGCAATGAACTCTTACCTTGATGTGTCATTTCAGGTATATCTTGAAAGACTGCTAACATATGCAGAGATAGATATTTGTCCAGCAAACTGGAAAAGAATTGTGCTTGGTGCAATCCTACTTGCATCCAAAGTTTGGGATGACCAGGCTGTGTGGAATGTGGACTACTGTCAGATTCTGAAAGATATCACAGTTGAAGACATGTGAGTTTATTGTTCAGTCCCCTATTTGCTTGTTTCCTTGTTTGTTAACTGATGCAATGGGAAAGTTTCTGAGGAAGCTGAGAAAGAAGAGAATCTCTAGACATACACAGCAGTGGCTTATCTAATAAATGGCAGCTTAGTCTGGGAAGAAGGATAGCCAGGGAAGAAGAGATTCAAACTTTCAGGGAGACTCCCCCTGCATGGACTAATTAATAAAAGAGGGCTGGAGATTCCTATCCCAGACTTGACATGCATCTCATCATATAGATTCTGTAAGTCCAAAATCTTTCTATTGCTATTGCTATCATGAGCTACAAATTGGATTGATCATTGTTTTGATAGGCATTTTAGGCATGTTGCCTTACTTTTGGAGGAATTTCCTGGAAGAGTGGCTTATAAATAAAAATTCAAGATAGAAACCGTGTTAGATCCAAACAAATTAAGCTGAATTTCGATTCTGTGGGATAAATGAATTATGATTTAGGTCATAATGAGATGAATTTAACTAACTTAATCTATGTCTAACCTTTCCATAAGTAAACAAACAAAAACTTGTCAATTCCAGTAAACCATAAGTAAGAAAAGGATAGGTATGACTCTAGTAAAGAGTGCAATATTCCATAACATTATATGATTAGTGATAAAGAAAGACATCTTTTCCATCAAACTTGCTTTGCTTTGTGTATCTTCCTTATATGTTTAGATCAGTGTTTCTCAACCTTGGCAACTTGAAGATGTGTGAACTTCAACTCCCAGAATTCCCCAG